GTAAAATTGACAGATTGCTACACGGATTGGCGAAATGAGCGGTTTTAAATTTTGATGCGCACAGAAGTTTGAAAAAATATTTCGGTTACTGGAGTGACTCTTGTTGTTATTCGAAATAACCATAAAGTGATGAACTTAAGTGCCGTTTAAAATTAACTCCGCTATAAAAGAGGGTTAAAATGAAACTGTGGAAGGTGTTGGCAAGAAATAGTCATGTTTATACGAGTCATACAAGGCAGAACAATGGGCTTGAACTTTATGGTAAGTTCTAAATTTAAAATAGATTTAATCATCGAAGCTATTAAAAACTTCCCAAATGTACTCGCACCTCTACATGCGTTGCATAATTTAAAACTTTTTCGTGAAATTTACCAACAAAGGAAGTCTAAAAATAATGAGGCCTCTTCGTAATTAAATATTGGATTAATCCGAACTCTGCAAAGAAAACCATTTTTAGCATCTTTTGTTGTGCGTTCCCAGCGCGTTTTTACGCGGCAATATGAAACATATTATACTCGCTCACTCACGCACCCGGTTTGGGGTCGAAAAAAAAGTTGGAAAAATTCATAACTTTCCCTCATCTCTCCTTACATGCACCCTTTAATTAATATTTCACGATAAATTTAATTTATTAGGTCGAAACTCGGCGATCATAAAGGGAGCCTATTTATTTTAATTCACTCATTTTGTCAGGATTTTTCATAATCCCCATCGACAAAACTTCGCTGATCATATACTGTGTCCACTTTACCTCGCGCAAATTTATCACAAATCGGCCGAGTCGATGTGATTTTGGTGTTAACGTTAACTCTGGAACCTTTTTTCATTTTCTTATAGGGAATTAAGCCGAGATTCTATTTTACGACATGAGCTCTTCGATATAATCACCGAGGTGGGTGGTTCATATGAAACAAATGCTTTAATTAGGTAATTTATAAAGGATATTTAAACAACGATAATTACATAAAATACACACATTTGTTTTGCAATTGATATGATTACTGTTTGATTGAATGTGCTTTCGATCTGCTGCGGTTGTAGGATATGTGTATTTGCATTTTCAAAATTAAATAATCACATTATGAAAATATCCAATTAGACCTACTGGATTTTTTATGCGACAATGTACTTGTGCTTTTGCGATAGCGTCCATCATTTGCAGTTAATAAAATGAGTAATGCAGTTTCCTTTTTTGATGATATTTGGTAGAACCATTGTTTATTAATTAAAATGGTAGATCTTTCTGAAAGCTTCATTTGATGCAGAAATTAAAACTGCAGGTTTGAAATGTTCGATCGGCACATAAATGGTAGCATAAATAAATTTACAAATAAATACAGAAACGTGGAAATATGTGGACATACGGAAATATGTCATGAAAATATACAACATAGAAAACTCTACCTTTTTGAATAGGATTATCTGTACGCACTAAAATTTTGTGGTAGTTAAAAAAGTTGCACTAGGTATCGAAAGTTTCCTGGTCATTAACAAACCCAAAGTTTTGTTATCTTTAAAATTTTACCCGGAGTCTACAATTTCCAAGTGATTTTAAGACAGTAACCATTTAAACACAAGCAGTTTACCATTGTACACCAAACCCATCCGGCAGACGGTAGACGTAAATTTCAAAACATTGCAACTAGAAAAGGGAATTGTGTGCGTACCTATTGTGTAAACTACAGGGGGGTGCCGTTTCTCTAGGTTGAAATGTCGAAGATGAGCGCGAGCCACCCTCTAGTGAAAAATTTACATGTTGTTAACCTAATTTCTGATTTACGCATTGGAAATAGTAGTCGGAAGATCCTGTATGTAAAATCTTTTAATTTATTTGATAGGACCTGGCGGAATTTCATTCAAAAACATACGGAATTGGAAAATTTGTTAAATTAATAGGACGCTCTGCTCTCTATTCATCGTGAGCAAAACGGGTATTGTCGATTGGTCACTATGCCTTAGGTTGCTATAAAAATTACTGAAAGAAAGTCATAGCGCTTTTTAAAAATAACTATTATCGTAACTTAAACATTATATCTGCCCATATTTTTTGTAAAGGCATTATCGAACAAATTAATTGACTTTATTTAATAACAACGCCACGTGCAAGATAACGAAGTCAAGTGTTTTATCAATACACTCGCCGAAGCGGTGTTTCGAGAATCGTCGGAGAACAACGATATGGAGCGGATGAGTGGAGATGGCTTCCACCACTTTCCACTTTTAAATACAAAGAATGGGAAATAAACGAAGCTGGTTAGCCTAAAGCGGATGTCTCGCCGTGATCTTTTTGTGGGTCGATTAAAAAAGCGCTAAATGATTACGGGAAAGCTTGCGCCGTTCAAAGAAGTTTAAGTTTTTTTACGTTTAAAATTGTATACGAGGTTCGGCAGTTAAAAGGCTGTGATTATTATTATGTATTAATTAAAAATCTTATCACCCGAGCATCCATGATAATTATTGGTTACCCTCATCCAACAAGTTATTGGATTACTCAAGTTATGTGTTTAACAAGAATGAGAAAAGAGGAGGAAATATGTAAGGAGGAAAACTTATTGAGTTTGATTTTATCATAATTGTTGTGTAAAACTGTAAACAATACATTGTAGACATTATTTCGGTTTTAACACCAAAAATAATGATGGGAAACCCTGTATATGCGAAGTTTATTCAATTTAGTGAAGGAAAATCAGAGTGAGAGAGGCAGGGGGGGGGGGGGTTACGAAAAAAAAAAAAATTGGTTTTTTTCATTTGAGTTTGTATTTCTGTAGTATTATTTTGTATTGTATTGTTTGTAATGGTGTATTGTTTTTTTAAGATTTGTTTATTTAATTGTAAAACGTAAAATTGCGTGTTAAAATGTGAGAACCTCTGGTTGAAGGTTTATTTAAGTGTTTGCGATAAAACTTTTGATAACAAGCGAAATTAATTAATTTCAACGAAAAATACACATCTGGCGCAGATAAAATAATCCAAATGTGTTACGAACACTATTTTTATTCGGGTAGTTTACCCTACAGTAATTTATAAGGACAATGGCGATAACCTATCATAATCCGCCATATTGGAGCTAAACAATTTATTGTAGGATTCATATACCTTGTCATGTCAAATTGTGACCGTAGAAGAATAAATGTCAAGTAAAGATTCTCGTTTTTAACTAACAGCGCAAAAATGATCGTTTAAAGCTTTACAGAACAACCTATGGGAGAACCACTGCCTCCCAAATTCAAAAAGATATATGGAAAACGGTATAATAAGTATAAAATATGGTGCAATATCCAAAATGTACATATAAAGGTAAGCATTAATCATTAAATTGTGTTTGACATTTCAGTGTGTTCTGTCACTTCTTGTCCCTTGTCGCATGTTTCTCCTTCCGAGATAAAAAGTATTACTTTAGTCCCTTAAATGGAAGACAAAACACATTGATTTAGTCCACGGAGTACAAGAGATCAATATTCCTTGTGCTTCAGCAATCATCAATGTTAAACATTAAACCAATCCAAGCGTATTTATGATCACAATTGCGTTATTCATAACCATAATTGAATTTGCTGCTAAATCTCTAACCAATTTTCTATCTAAACTCATTAGGTATTTAGAGCCTCTGAAAAAATTTGTCACCGCATGCGTGCGGGGAAATTTGTAATTATTAACCAGGAAGGTGTAATCAAACCAAAATTATAGCTTCAATTGAAAAGTGAAAGAAGTTGTTTCTCCATTAGTTTTCTTGCAATAATTATAGTTTTATTGACATATAAGTCAGGAAAATTGAGCCGAGTACTTTAATTTCCGAGTCAAGCATTGTCATTTTAGTCACGAGTTTTGTATTAAATTTTACCCGAAATCAAATCAATTTAATTTTTCATATAGAACAGTTAATTAATATCAATCTGTCAGTGATGACAGGAGTCATTATAGACATTTAGCAACGTGACAGATGCCGCCGGAAAAGTTTCAGGTGCGGCCTGTAAAATGACAGGTGCAGCCAGTAAAGTGACAGGCGGTAGGAAAAGTAATGTGGTCTGCCTCTGTCATGGAAACTAAAATTTCCTGAGATAAAGAAGGCATGACAATGAAGGTTTCATGACGATTTCAGGTAAAAGTAATTGTATCTCATGCTAGCCGGGATTTTTCTATTTACTTATATCCGAAAAAAATACTATTAAATAAGAAGGAGAGGTAAGTAAAAACCACGACACAATAGGAGTTTCAAGCCTATGAAATATAGAAAAGTCTATTTCAACAGTTCAGAAAAGACTCATTTTGTAAATATTTTAATGCCAGAACAGGGAATAAAGGAAAATAAGTGGGAAGACGAACATGGGAGGAATAGAGAGGTCGGTATTCATTACATACCACTAACCGAAGGAATAAGGAATAAGGAAGGATAAGTCTAAAATGGAAGATACAAAGTACAATAAAGTTAAAAATACACAGACGAAAGGAGAGACACTGGCGGACAAGAGACATTATGGAGAAGGAGCCTAGAGAAACCACAAAAAGAAAAAACAAAAAGTAACGTCCACCACCAAAAAAGCAAGCAGCAAGTAACGCCATCATTTACTATTTAAAGTTATTGCCATAATCCTTATTCTTCGTTATTTAACAAATTAAATCGTCGTCCATGGACCACAGATATACAGGGCCGGACTGACCCGCGCTAGCGAGGACCCTGGACGGGGCCCTCGTGGAACCGCGCAGCGGAGCCTCCGAGCCCCGCTAAGCGTTAACCTAGCTAACCCGAGGCTCCGCCATGTGGGGGCCTTTTGGTCATGGAGCGTCCGGGGCCCTTACCCACCCAGTCCGGCCCTGCAGATATACACATGTGCCAGAACTAATACCTCTTTCCCTCCTTAACTACAAACCAATAACATGAGATATGATGAGATATTTGCTCAATATGCGGTGTTTCCACCTATAAGCATGTATTGTACTGTACCATGTACTGTACTATATGGTCAAAGAATGTACCTATCTGTCACTTTGGCGTTTCGCGAATGATGGACGAATTTAACGAAAATAAAGCGCGACAACTAATTTCCGAGGCGGAAAAATCCTTGTCGTCACCTAAAAATTTTTTGGTTGCTCTTTTTTCCAGGTGGGTATTGTTACAGCTACAACTGATAGCGAAGTTAACCCATAGGGGCTGTGGAAAAGTGGATGCTGCCGTTGAGCATTACCGAGGAGCCGCTAATTTGTTCAAAATGTGCAAGAATTGGGAGGAAGCCGGCAAAGCATTTTGTAAGGCTGCAAATTTACACGCGACAACTTGCTCTCGTCATGAGGCGGCTTCCAACTACGTTGACGCTGCCGGCTGTTACAGGAAAACGAATGTCAGCGGTAAGGGCGAACTTCTCCACGCAATCATTTCAATGTAATTTGTAGAAGCGGTCAACTGTTTATTGGAAGCGATAGTGATATTCACGGACCTTGGCCGCTTCACACTGGCCGCTAAGCTGCACAAAACTATCGCGGAGATATACGAGTCGGATGCCACAGACTTGACTCGATCGGTCCAGCACTACGAGCAAGCCTCCGACTACTTTAGGGGGGAAGAAAATAACTCGATGGCGAACAAATGTCTGCTAAAGGTGGCCCAGTACGCCGCACAATTTGAAAATTACCAAAAAGCTATAGAGATTTACGAACAGATAGCCGCGTCCTCATTGGGAAGCTCCATTTTAAAGTACCGTGCTAACGAGTACTTTTTTCGCGCCGCATTGTGCCATTTATGCGTCGACTTACTTAACGCCCACTACGCCATCGAACGATACCTTAATCTGCATCCGGCATTTGAAGATACCCGCGAGTATAAATTGGTACGAGCGTTACTTGAGCACTGTGAACAGCAAAATGTCGATGCGTTTACGGAGTCCGTAAGACAATACGATTCCATCTCACGTTTGGATCAGTGGTACACTGCGATATTGTTACAAATTAAGAGACGTTACATCGTTCAGTTTCCAGACTTACGTTAGAAAATAAATACAGTAAATCGGGTCTTAATTTTGTAAATTATCGAATGTAGAAGCGGTGCGTAAGTTTAGAAGAGTAATAGGGAAACCCTTTTTCTAAATGACACGTCAATTTGTCAAATAGATCTGTCAATTAGGCAGAATTGACACTAAGGCAATTAGTATGAACTGAGTACGATATTTGACAGATTTATGTCTCTAATTGACTGCGAGTAGTTTTAATTTACAGATGTACATGTCAATAGAACTAATTGACAGATAGATGTGTCAATTAAGCTTGCATATGCGCTTTCGTCCAAGAACAATCGAAGAAGATGTCGTCGTACAATCTTTGATAATGAGCGTGACTGTTAAAAAGCAGCATGGCTTTTCGTCAAACATCTCCCTTATACAAAAGCGTAGCAAGTTACATTACTACAGTCCACAATCACTCCTTAAATAAGGTTGAGCCAGCATGCATATAATAATATTTCAAAATTTGAGTAAATTTAAAATTATTGTAGTTCCCATTTTAAAGTTATATTCGTGCGTGAAGTTAGTGGCGCGTACGAAGTAATTTTGTGGTTTGACAATGTGAATGCAGCAAATATTCATGCTACTTATTTTACGGATCCGTCAATAGTACATTGAAATACAAGTGCAGAAACGGTATTATTGAAAAACGAGTATAAATGTAGGAACACGAGCGCCAGCGAGTGTTCCTATTATACGAGTTTTTCAATGACCGTTTCGGCATGCGTGTTTCATACTATTTTTTCTACGAAAGTGAAAAATTCTTCTCTAGAAATTAGAAATTTCAACTAGCCAAATAACTACAAAAAATCGTATAGTCTGATCGTAGTTGGATGTTTCAATTGTAAATGATCCAGTAAGCCGGTTGCCATGACAAAACATAATTGTTTGAAAAATCGTAAATTTAAGTCAAACAATTTGTGGCGTAGTGAAGAAGTGTTAAGATAGATTTTGACGAAACTGAAGATGAAGAAGCTAGGTATGTGCACCCCGCCGGACGTTGCGGAAATGGCTAATGCGGTTTCGCATGAATTGCTACCCCAAAAGTCTAAGCAGCGTTTCGGAAAGGAGCGTTTTCATAAGAGAACAAATCGCTAAGTTTTTGAGAGAAGCGCCTGATGAAACATTTGTAATGATGAAGGTTTGTGAATTTCTTATTGTATTTTTAAATCATAAATAAGCATAATTTAATTACAGGTTGCTCTCGTCCTTGGAGTGGCTGGAGCTTGCCGTCGGAGCGAACGTTGTAAAATGACTGTAACGGATTTCACAGAACAAGTCACAAGATGCAATTTTATTGATACTTAACGATTCCTGACTCCAAGAATCATGTCCCAAGAACGTTTTCTGTAGCAGAAGGCAAAGAAAATTCTACCATTGTCTGTCTTATATAACGAAACTGTGAATAAAGCAATACAATTACAAAGAGTTACTTCGCATATGTTTATTAGCGTGTAGAAAATGCGTGCAGAAAATATTTTTTTCTATTTCGATGTGGAAACAATACCGAAACCGTACTTGATTGGCCCAGTTTGCGTGCGTTTCTAGACAGAAATGATGCTGAAAGAAATAGAAACGTATTATTTTTTTTATTTTGTTGGATTGGTACCCCTCGCTTTTTTGCCGTCAACGGTATCCGTCAAATCAAAACTAAACATAACCTGTAAAGTGTAAATAACGTACGAGGAACTTGACCGATTGTATTAATTCCGATTAATTTTGAATATATACTCCAAAGGGTAGAACTTTTTTATTTTTACTTAGCGTAGTAAAATATACCAGCAGTACATTCTTGCTTACTTTTTGAACTCCCTTCTCGGCCAGCCAGTTTTCAAAAATTTTGTACTCCTCGTACTTTACTTTCGATTTTACAGGCAGTAAATTTAACGTCATTTCATTGGCAATCTCTTGGATCTCTGGTGAGGTACAAGAGACGTGTTTGTCATCCGTATTCATCATAACTGCCGCAAAATGGAATTATGACCAAATAATTAAAAGTTTGAAGTTTGAAAATACAAGAATCAGGTTAGCCAACGTAAAAATAAATGAACTGTGTCTATTACCAACATACACTGAATGATAGTTTAAAATTACCTAACAACGCCTAAAGGCAATATTTATAATTTGTATAATTTATTATTTAAAATAAAAGTCGAAATAGAAAAAATAGTATAAAGCACACGTGTCATTTGTCTACTTGTCGCACTCGGCTTTTGCCGCATTCGCCGCTACGCGGCTTATGCGGCAAACTACCTCGTGCGACAATCTTCGTCAAATGACACTTGTACTTTAATATACTATTGCCGCACTAGTGTTTCAAAGACCTGTTTTCACAATCAATTTACCTACAAAAACAATCGTGTTTCTACACTTTCGTAGAAAAATTGACTTTCTTTTTATGGCAATGAAAACGTTATTGCGAATACAACTACCCTTTCCTTGTTTATGTACGAGCATAATATGTTATGTCGGTTATCGCGGTATCCTGATTTGGATCTTTTTTCTGCCTCCATAAAACACTGTTCATAGGCGGATCAAAAAAAAGGCGCACAGAAACTATTCAATTTTGTTATTGACGTGGCGGTAGCTTTTGTAAAACCCCTGACGTTTAACAGAGAAGTTGCATGTAATATTTACATATTTACACCGTCGTTTCCAATTAGTATAATGAACTGTGGAAAAAGTAAGTTTATAGGTTTAAATTAGTAAGGCTGAAATTAAAACAGGAACGACGTGGTAAAATGTTAACAATATTTTTCAGCGGTTTACTTCGAATGAGCAATTTAGACTAAATTATTGGTAGCGTCAGTGAAATTTTCCTCTTGTTTTTTTTCGTTTTACGCATCGAGTAATTACGGATACAGCATTATACATGTTTATAATCCCTAAATAATGAGCGTAACTTTTCATCCGAATGAAATATGCATGTTGAATATTACAATTTGTGTTTCTTCTTTTACACACATTTCACCTCAATTACCTCATTTCAGTTCAGTAGGTATAGCTATTAGTATATTAAAAGACAAGTGTATAATCAAGTCTTAAAAGCACCCGTAACGAGTTTAATAATAATATAATAACATATAATATATATATAATAAACCCTGTGGGTTCGGGGATAGAATAGGCCCACTCTCGCCCTAGAGATCGTAAAAGGCGATCAATGGGCACTAAAGGTGACCAGTCCAACCACCTTTAGTACTTACCTACCCACTTTACTTTCCAACTCCCACGCCCATGTTCCCTACTTTCCTACATTATACACAACACGCAGGTGGATATTTGCTTACGCGAATATCTTGAAGAGTGACGCCTTCACGTGTTCCTAGTCACCCCATATTCTTATGAAAATGGAGTTTAAACAAAGCCTCGGAAAAATGCCGCTACCTGAGGAGCGTCAGGGCACGTCTGGAGCTATCGCTGGGCGTTGCAGTATGCGAGCCGATAGTGACGAGTTGGTGAACAGGCGGCCGCTCGTCGGGATACCCGAAACCTCTACAGCCGAAAGAAGACTACGAAGAGGACAACGACCACCTGAAGAGGACCGCCATGAAGAGACCTTTGTGCCTGCTTCTCAACCGCTTGTGGATGGGACCAGCGCAAAGGATACCTCCAAAAGACGTATGAAATGGGACGAAGGGATGAATCGCTTCATTTTCGGTACGTATCTGGAGATCACGAAGATGGAAACGGACAGGACAGCATACAGAGGTAAACTATATCACGCGTTCATTACACAATACCCACATTTAGCACACTTGACAGAACAACGCATTGCAGACCAACGTAGAGTTATCATTAAAAATACACTCCTTACATTAGACACACAGGAACAAATCAGGCACGAAATTGAAGCACTACTCAACACAAACAACACACTCATCGTACAAGATAATACACCCGTTCTAAACAACACTGAAATACAGATATTTGCGACACCCCAGCAATCGATAGATACAAATAATCACATAAACCAAACACTCACATCCCTTCAAAAAGAATTTGACAATGCATTGTTAGAATTCTCAAACACTGACCCAACACAAAGAGCACGAATACCTAAACAAAGTCACACTACAAAATTACGCACACTCTCAAAAACACTAAATGATCACATTTTACCAAATTACATTAACGATAACACAAGCTTACATCAACTACACTTTGTTGTGTATTGCGGTGCGGTTGCAGTTTCTAGATGTAACGGTTCAAGAATAACAACAAACAAAGAACACCACACAACAAAAAAGCGCTCACCCCCGGCTTGGGAAAAACGCCTGATTAATCNCAATTCGTACTTTTTCGATCAGACTTCTCAATCAAAAGTTATAGACTAGAAACCAATTTCGAAAGAAAATTCAAAGGGCTGTAACTTTTTAACTAGTAGCCCAATCTTGGAACTGTTTGAAATTATGGATTCTACAGGCCACATTCTATAAGAAAATTTTTCCGGGTCGATCTGAGACAATTTTTTTTTCAGAGCTCAAAAAAAGGCAGTGTGTAACCTTCCTTTTTACCAAAAATCGACTGCACCAAAATTTCTCGGGAAAACACTTTTTCTTATTAATTTTGGTGCGTAGAATCCAAAACAATTCGTACTTTTTCGATAAGACTTCTCAATCAAAAGTTATAGAGTAGCTAAACCAATTTCGAAAAAACATTCAAAGGGCTGTAACTTTTGAACTAGTAGCCCAATCTTGGAACTGTTTGAAATTATGGATTCTACAGGCCACATTCTATAAGAAAATTTTTATTCCGGGTCGATCTGAGACAATTTTTTTTTCGGGGCTCAAAAAAAGGCAGTGTATAACCTTCCTTTTTTACCAAAAATCGACTGCACCAAAATTTCTCGGGAAAAAAGCCATTCATCATGGCCACGTTTCCGTTTCAATTGGTCCCAATAACCTGTTCAGGTGGCGCAATTTGCTGTATTCTTCGCATTTAACGTTAAAAGTGAAACTTTTTAAATGAGCACACTGTAGAGCGAGCGA